AATACATTTACATAATGCAATGTATTTACATATAACATATATGCATGTACTTAATTATTTTCTCCGTCATTTTCTTTAGTCGCGAATACTATTTAACATGTGCAAGTTATGTAACCAGCTTAAAGCTCATTTCTTGCAGAGAATAAGAAATCTGCCCCCCCTTGAATGTGTGGCGTATGTAATGTGCCCGAGGAACCACAACAAAGTGAATTCCCAGTATCCAGTCGCATGTGGAGCCAGCCCCTGGCTCAGACCCCAGTGACGTCTTGCTAGTGGTACAACAACAGGGATTCACTTAAGTACGTGGTCGACGGCAACAGTCGTGCGCAGGACAAGTTACAAATGTTTATGACAAACCAAACATCATAATAATATGTAACAACACACAAGCAATGCAACCAACTGCAGGCCAATTCCCCTCTCAGCCAACAAACAATGACATAAAATACAAAACTATGTAAGAGCCAACAAGCAGCAGACCCAACAACAGTGGCCGCAACAACAAAAGGGGCGCATAAAAATGTTAGCAGCCCGCCCCCCACACTTCAACTCCGCAGCGCTTGTCAATTAAATGTCAACTGACAGAAATGTTGGCTGCCTGATGCCACATTAAAATTCCGCAGAGAGTTCAAAAATGAACGAAATGCAAAAAATACACAGAGCACGCATAATAACACACACACACACACACACACACGCACACATATCCAAATGTATATCTTCCTCTGAGCATGCGCCTTGAGGCATGCAATGGAAATTTTCACTCTCTTTAAAGTTACATTCCACTCTTTAGCAGTGCCTGTCCAACTGTAATGGTGCATATTCACCACTGTACCGGCTAAAAAAGCATTTCCATTTCCGATTCATAGTGCAGGGCATTCTATGCATTCCTATGTTTGGCACTCAAGTCTGACATGTTTCCCATTTGCATAATGTGTGCGTGTGTGTGTGTGTGTGTGTGTGTCCTGTGCACATATTTGTATTTGTGTTTGCTGAGAACCTTGCCATTGTCTTTCAATGCCATTCGACAGCTTTGGCTTTGTCACCTAACCATACCCTTTTAAAAACGAACAGCCTTTTTTTTATAAATAAAGACTCACTTTAAAACTTAACAATTATTGAAGTATTTGTATGTTATAATACAGGCAAACAAATGTTTATAGACAAAATGTTTATAGTTTTGCTTTCAGATAAATATCAAGTTTTACTGGTCAATTATAATTATATAAATTTCCTAATGAAATTTCCATTTCGAACTCAAATGGCAAATGCTGTGATATGAATAGATGACTTTTGTTAATTGAAGTTTTCTTATTGACTTAATATCGCTGTTAACATTAAGAATATCTGCTAATCCCGCAAGTACAACTACAGAGTATCGATTGTATGTGCTTTCCATCGATCGTATTTACTGGTTAATTTTAATCTTTTTGGTAGCAGCCGAACCTATCGGAGAACGAGTGCTATGGGACAAGTGCAAGACACATTGTGTCGGTAGGTTCCCGGCAACGGCATGCAAATTTTTGCATCAGCAGCACCACCGACCGCACCACTCGCTTGGGCCAGTTGGCAAGCGAGCCAGCAACTGTTGGTCATTTTAAGTGGATATTTCAGATTGAACGGAACGCCCCTTCCATACCATGCTGACCGTGGTATGTGAGTCGGTCTGGCAAAGCGGAAATTTGCTTGCACGAAAGTCGTTAAGGGAAATGGAAAATGTACACAGCTCGCCAGAGCTTCAGGTTGAACACAATCTGCATGCAATTCATAATGGCATTTAGCAGACAGCAGCTAAAAGGTCTAATGAAATTTCCATGTGCCATCGAATGGGCAATTTGTTCGATGAATTAGGAAACGTTCACATGTGTTCCCCAAAATGATTTCTCCTTCAAATCTTTTCAATGGGAGCATTTCTGGCAGCAGTTACGAATGCAGTTACGATTGCAGAGGTAAGAGAAGGAGGAAAATATTAAAAAGAAAATAATGTAGCCCAGCCTAGCCCTAAGATTTTGCACAAAACCGCACAAGTTTTCATTAAAAATTAAGTTTTTATCGAGTGTAGAAAAACTCAATTGATTTTCCTTTATCAAACACAATTCGTGTACTGAAATATACATTTGTACATATGTACATATATATATGAAGTGTATTTTCCAATAATATCTAATACCTATTTTTGGTTTTGCAAATAGCCCATTAAATAGTTATTTTATTTTTTTTTAGTAATAAGGCTTTAAGAGCTTACCTTTCTCCTGCAATTGCTGTCGCTTAATGTCGCCCTTCAGCACTTCCGCTGTGTGGACCAGTTCATTGAGTTGAGGTTTTTTCATTTTCAATTCACGCAAAACTTTCTACAAAGCGAAGCAGAAATAGAGCAAAAGCAATGGACACTACTTCAGGCTGAAACTTACCTCCTGCTTTTCAATGGCCAAACGCACTGCGTCCACATCGTCCACGAGCACACTCTGTATCTTGATCATGTTTTGTTCCCAAGTCAACCAGTCGGAAATGTGCAGAACGGACTTATCGAAGCTGCTGGCCAAAGCGCCGGTGCCGCTCGCCTCGTTGTTGTAATCTGAATCGGCAAATAAAAAACCAAATTTTCATTAAAAAACTACGATAATTAGATGCCTGCGTAGCCCAGTCACTAATGCTATTTTCCTCATTAGCAACGGCTGCGGTTTTGTGTCGGCCAATTGCGGTCACCATGGCCAACATTCGTATAGAGCGAACGCCTGCCACAGTAGGCCATATTTGCCGAGTTCACTTTTCTGCCAGCGCGCCCAGTTGGCCATTTCGACGAAATGCCTGTCCAGAGGCGCATAAAAAGCGTTGAGTAAATGAAAAACTATTTCAATGAAACACACTTTCAAGTGGCTGCAAAGCAGGACGCGGCCGTCACTCAGGCATGGCACACATCCGGCCAAGAAAGAGAATAAATTTGCACGAGGATTACTCTAAAGCTTTCTAGTTTGCACTGCAAGAAAGCTGAAAAATCAAACTAGCAAGCATTAACCGGCTGTGCACGGCCAAGTAGAACTACATTGTCAAAATGGACATTCTATTCACCTAACTGCTATTAAGTTTACTATAAACAAACGCATTTACAGCCCATAATGAATATGCAGTATGTTTTGTCAGCGCACATTTCATTTAGTCTGCTTTAAAGCATGCCACACTCGACAATGCACAAAATAATATTATATTATTCTTTGGTTCGCATTCTCGACGCCCCAAATGGCAGCTTTCAATTGAAAACCAGAACTGGCCGCAAAGAATTCAAAGCACACGAAAGGGGCGCGGGAAACACTTGAAATACTTAGCGCAAAAGATTAAAAGAAAAGTCTTGGACAAGTTTTGTAAGCCTAAGGAGCTAATGCAGAAATTTATGAAAGTTTCGGGGCTTCAGTTGCACATAAGCCGTGAAAGCAAACCCAATAACTACGAAAGTCTGTCTGTGTCCTTGTGTTTGAGCTGTGTCTGTAGGTCCAGAAGTTACGTAGCGACGTTTACTTTGTTATGATTGTTGTTGTTGTTGTTGTTGTTATTCTATACGAACGCCCCAGCACGCAGGATTAGAGCTTCTATTTGCGACAAGGGATTCGGACCGGCCAAGGCAACTAGGGTAAAAAAGGAACAGACTTTGAGACAGGCCTTTACTCGTCATGTCTATGCGGAATGAATGAATGAATGAATGGCACGTGTGTGAAAGCATTTAAAATAAAATTCATGAGAGTCACACATCAGACAAGAGGCTGTTAAACAAATATATGGAAGAAGCATGAAAAAATAAAACACAAAAAAAAATCAGCTAACAAGCCTTAGACACAAACTGAAGTAGCCGGAGATGGAAAACACGTTAAGTGCAAAATTTCTTTTCATTCATTTTGACGCTTGTTGTCCTTTATACGACAACAATCAGAGCCTGACAGGTGCAAAAAGCTAAAAGAAAAATCATTAAAAAAATATATATACATATGTATAAAATGTAAGTGAAACACGTTGAAATTGGCAAGGGAAGCTGCCTGATAAAGCTTTTGTCATAACTCATTAAAACCGGAGAAAATGTTATATTTCCACTTGTCGCGCGGCTGCTTCTCAATGTCAGTCAGCACTTTTTCAAATACCTTGAGAAGGTGAGCACATTGAACTCTGCGCATATGAGCCTTAATGGCGCACACTTATAATTATTATAATATTTTTATGTTTTATTAACTATTCATATTTATCGATTTGTTCGAGGCTGAACAATAAATTTTGTTCAGTAAAACAAGGGCAATTGAAATTTTCAAGATGAACATATCATTTATGAAATTCACATTATCGTTAGATTCTAGATATATATATTTATATCTTCTTTAATATTAATATTTATTAATGCCTACTTAGATCGGGACTTGAATGTTTTTGTTTTGTTTGTTTTTTAAATCACATATCTGAATAAAAATTTATGTCTTAACATATTATTTTCGAAGCACATATGTTGAGTTTAGCAATAAAATTGTTACTTTTTATATATTTTTTTTTTCTTATATATTTATTTTAACTTTGGCTATGCACAGCAGTTTGAGGTTTCAAATAGTGTTTCCTGCTTCATTGCAAATACAAGCGACATTTGATAACACAGTTTCTTTTCACAAGAAAGGTTAAAGAATATTTCTAATTAAAAACTAACAAAAAATCGAGACTTTCAAATTTAAATCATTCTGTAGTATTCTTCATATTAAATCACATGCACAAGAATTTTGAACGAGTTCAGTTACTTCCTTACCGCTGAACGTTTTGTTTTGAAATGTTATGATTGCCCGCAGTCCTTAACAGCTGTTTGGCAAGCGGCAAAGCTAATTGGCAAAAGAAAAAGCTTTGGCCAGAGCTTAAAGCTAACAATGTGCTTTTAGTCGATGCCCATGGTTATGTGTTGGCACACAAACAGTTCTATAGCATTTAGCTATCGCATGCTCACCGAATTCAAAATCAAAATGTAAGCAGTGCCGCGTAGGCATAGCAAGCAGTTTCAGATTAGGATGAGCACGATAAAAAAAAAATAGGTGAAATTTAGGAACATACCCTAGAAACAGGAAAACAAACAACATATACAATAAAACAACAAATAAAAAAAAAACAAAAGCTGCTTGACAAAGAAACGCCCACAAGACTGTTTGGTTGAGTCTTTTTCTTAAGTACGTTAATCGCGATTGCCATCCCTTTCACGATGGCGTCAACGGGAACTAAAAAATCATCATTCCTGACAAAATCAAAAAAAAGTCAATCGAGAAATCTGATATTCAAACCACCTGACCAGGTGCCAATTGTAGACCGTGACTATGGCCTAATAAAGATATCTACAGACAAGGCGTCGACCCCATATCCACGCGTATCAAAGGGAATTGATGTGCCGGCTCTTACGGCGCGGCTTGAGGAGGAGCGCATAAGTAAAACCGAAGTGACTCCTTTGGAAAGGGCGGATTCTGCATTTAGTTCCTTACGTTTTAGCAGCACGTCGCACAGGACACACGTGATGCATCCTGAGCAAATGCCCACAGGCACTCCGCACCCTAACAAGGGCATGGCCGTAGATCCCAAATTACTCAAAAAACAGATCAGTACAATTGATTGGAATGCTGAACTGTCCCATCAATGGGCCAGCATTAGACGATTATCGGACATCCAGTCGATGCTGTCAGAGATGGAAACTGACAGAAAGTCAGTCAAGGATCTCTTGTCGGCTCGCTCTTCAAGCTACAAGCGCAATACCCTGCCCAGCTGTCTGCGAAAAGACTACAGCAATAAACCTGAGCACGTGCATAAACGCAAAAAGGTCACCCTAATCAGTCCTCGAAGAAGCGCGACCAGCGAACTACGAGACGAAAGAAAGAATCTCTTAATAGACGACAGAAAAAGTGCCCAAAGCACAGTGAATAGCTCCGGACCGAGCAGCCATCCGCTTAGCTTTAACGAACGTCGACAATTATTTTGTAAGGGCGAATACACAATTGCCAAAAATGGAAAGAAGTTAAGCGAATATTTTATGTCAAATCCAGTGGATAAATTAGACATTGTTGATGGCACATTTTGCGATGACCAAAGGGCGACAGATGCCATCGAATTGTTTATCCGAAAACAAGGCTTCATAAAAGCACCCGCCGGTACATTAACCGGCAATACAAAAATCAAACTCAATGATTCAGCGTCACAAACTAGCTTTGCCAGCTCACCATCAGCATACTTATTGACAAGGAAATCAGGAAATTACTCAAATATTTTTCATTGAACGCCCCTCTATGTCCAAAAGGAGATGGCATTTGACAAATAGCGAGAGTGCATACAGATTGCGACTGGAGCCCACTTGAACGCACTTTCGCTATTTTTCCAATGCAAACCTATTCATAACTGGAACCTGTTTGGATCGTCAATTGCGATTTGTATAAATTTCTGTCAACGTATTCACATTCAGCAATACGCCTGCTACTGGAAGTTCATGTAAATAAATAGCAATTGATAAAACAAGAAGATATGGTTACCTTTGCGGTGCCGATGTTTCCTTATTATGCTCTAAAAAAGTTTTATTGCAAAACTCGTATTTCACAATGGACAATACCTGTTATCTATTTAGATAACCAGATGGTTTTCTGTCTATATATATATATATATATAATAGTTTGGGAAAAGCAACAATGCTAAAACAGAGAAATTAAGAGTAACAATTATAGTGAACATAAAAAATGTCAATCGTTTTTTGCGTTTTATTACTTTAGGCTCGTGGATAAAGTCGCATTGAAAAAACGCTTATTGTTTATAAAATATCTTCGTCTGTCGTGCAAAGCCGGATAAAACCTGGTAGTAATATACATAATCTAAATATTGCCTGACGTATCATTTCTCTCTGCGTAAATTGAAAAATATATATGCCTACATTGATCGGCGTATATCGGATGCAGGAAAAATCAGCTCAATTATTTAGCAATAGAGAAAGAGCTTTTTGGCAACAGGTCGCAGTTCAGCAATAGAATTATTCTTCGTAAATTAATCTGATAGATTGCAAAGAATAAAAGGCTAGCTTTTGAAAGCAGTTCAAAAGTTGGTTCTGCCCTGAAAAGTTGGCACTGCAAGCAGTGTTAAACAGTTTTTCATTATATTTGATTTCCCAACACAGCAAATAAGTTAATTCGAAAAAGAAAAAAAAGAAAAAAAAAAACAAAAAAACCAAATATTTGCTTACATATATTTCGTTCTTTTGCTTGGATCAGTACGTAGATTGAACGTCATGTCAGCTGCCAATTTAAGGTCAACGCCCTCTGCGAGCTTGAAACCATCAATTAGATCTGTAACATCTTTAGGAAGGAGCCATCAAGATAAGCTCTTCTTCACCAAATCGGAAACATCGGCTCTGGCATTTCGTGAATATGGTCTAATGCGGATAGCCTCCGTTAGGGTAACGACACCATTTCCACGAGTAACTCCGGCTGTGGATGCGGAGACGCTCCGCGAACGCCTTGTTAGTCAGCAAAGGATGGACACGGCGGGAGCAATCGAGCAACGTGCTGAAATGTTTGATGGTCGGACAAGAAAAGAAGATGCAGGAAGTCTACAATCGGGCCCGCCGCATCCCAAAAAGGATGTGGGCGTGAATACCAAATCAGTAATGAAAAACATAGACAAACATGTCATGGACTGGCAGACCCATCGAAAGTCATCGCACTTCTTAAATCCACGCTCTAGAAAAGAGTCATACTCTAACAGGAGTTCTATTAGCGAATATCTGTCGCTTGGCACACCGCATCCGAAAAAAAAAAGTAGTTTTAAATCCCGTAAATCTAGTAAAGCGTTTGACCGAAGCTAACATCGCGCATACGCTGAAGCGTGCAAAAAAGGTTGTTATTATCACTCCACGGCCAAGCGTAGTGGCCAAGGGAAGCCTGGAAAACGCGGAAGGATCATCAGCTCAGAAGAGCATAAGTTTTGAGGAACGAAGACGTTTATTTGATACTGCCGAATTCACAATAGCCAAGAACGGTAAAAAGATGTGCGAAATGCCATTGCCCAACCCAAATATAACAATAGATATATCCGACTCGATATATCATGTCGATGTACAGGCAAGGGATGAGATTGAAAATTTTATCAAAATTCAAGGTTTAATTAAAACGTCCCCCAATACACTGGCGAGTGTGCCCCTGTCACAAAGAAACACGGCACCCGTTTTCATCAAATCGGAACGTCCATCCGTAGCGAGTCAACGGAGCGGATCAATCATTTCCAAAAATTCAATTCGATCATCGGCTCCATCTAAGCACACTAGTTTCTTCAAAAGACCGAAAACCCCAAGCTCAATATTGAGAAATGCGTTTCACTTTCAGAAACTGCCCAGTCAACGAAGCATTGCATTCAATTCTTAGCAAAAGTGCTTTCGAATTGAGACCTAATCCGATTCGAAGAGACTTTCGCTAAGTAACGAATGCAATGTCCATATAAATGTAGTATAATAAATTGGCTTATACATAAAACGTTTTCGTTTTTTAATTATGCTTGATTTATAAATATGACATGAATTGTCTGTTGCTTGCAGTAGATATGTTCGAATTGGACAGATGATATAGAATGGGACCCCCCCATTCCCAACTTTTAAATTTTTCAAATGTCTGCAAGGGTATTAAATCCACATATTTGCAAAATGGTTTTGAATCGAACTATGTCGTAGAAATGTCTACTTTTCCCTTCGACTATTTAATAAATATTTGAAAAATTGTTATATTATTATTAAAGCGCTCCAATTTTTTTTTTCTATTTGGCGATTTATGTTGAATATTGAATATTCAAGCATACATTTCGAAAGAGCAGCCCTGTGTAAACCGGAACAGTCGCCGCTTCCATCACAGTAAACCGACACATGTATCCCACACATGCATACATTTGAAAATATCTATGTGCAATGTCAAAAGTGCTATTGACACGGCGCATTTGGATGCGAGCCCTTAACGGGTGCAAACAACAAAGTTAAAAGATGAAAAGCGGGGGCAAAAGACCGGCAACGAGTAGAGAGAAATGTCCATTAAAATGCCATAAAATGCAACGAAATATTGCCGACTGCATGAAAATATCAAATTAAAAACTTCAAAAGCGTAAATGTGTAAAAAGAATTATGCAAAAAATAAAAGAAAAGAAAAATAATACAAATGTATCGTGCGTGCTTGTTCTCGCGTTTTCGCAAATGGCCATCGAATTCATAAAATTGTGTTTGCAAACTTTTTTTTTTCCACATATTCAACGTTACATTAATTCCCTGCGATCTGAGTTTCTGTAGCACAATTAAAATTTCTGAATATGAAAATGATAGGGCGTGCTGCAACCAACAAAAATGTCGTTATTTAACGAAAATAATAAAATTCTATCAACAATACAGCTTCGGTGCTTCAGTTTTTCCTACTTGAATTGGACATGTGAAAACATGCAATTTGCTGTCAATGATTGTAGGCAGGAATTATTCCCAAGGAATATTAAAAAATAATATTTAGTTGAGGGGCGTGTGATACGAGAAACCTACCATAAACAAGGGTTTAATGTTAATAGGGTAACTCCAGATTATAGTTTTGATCTGCATAAACGGATGGATATGGTAAACTACAAGAACTGAAGATCTCAAATATCAGTACCGATATTAAATGAAGTTGGAGACACAAATTTTAGTTTTTTAGCTTTCAGCCTGTTCTAAACATATGTCTATATATGCATGTATATAATGATTAATTCTTTTACTCTTGGGAATATTTCTCCGGTTATCTTTACACCCAATTTAATTCGTAGTTACTCAGTACAGTTTATACACATTACAGACTCTGAATGAAAAGTGCGCTATATAAAAAGCGGGAAAACACTTTACTTTATGCAAGCTCTACAAATCTTTTAACCACTGACCTTAAGGGGCCAAACAAAGCGCAATAAACAACCTTTGAAAATCGATTACCAAATAATAGGAGCTAAAATCACTTACCCTGTCGGCTGTTGGTGGAGCCGTTGCCGTTGCCGTTGCCGTTGCCAATTTGGTTGCCATTTTTCAGTTCCGTCAATGAGAGCTCTACACAATCGGCATGAGCAATCAAATTGTTTTTAGTCTGTAAAAGGAATGGAAAGAAAAATGTGTGTAAACGGGCAGTTTAAATGAAATCGTCGAGCGACAAGTGCGTTGTGAGAACCTTTTCAATTTCGTTCATCATGACGGGCGTAACCTTTGGCATTTGGGGATTCTTGCCAATGGCGCCAACAATCACCTGCAGATCGTCTCGGCGTTCCTGCAAAGAGTTCAATCATTAATAAATTTGAGCTGGTTATCTGCCGTGGTAATGAAAAATTAACAATAAATGCACGCTGTGCGCTTGAGCGGAAGAAGGAAACGGCACGCACTCTAGCAAAATGGACGCCGCTGGGAGGGCCAACGGTAAATGAATTTCAATTCCGGCTACAATCGAACAAGAAAGACCCATGCAAGTATTCCCTGGGACAGCCAAGTACGTGAATCAATGCAATATGTGTGTATCTGTGTGTGGGTGGTTGGATAGTTGGGTGGTTGGTACAGCTAGGTTGTTGGTTGTTGGTGGTTGAATGGCGACTGTTTGTATACCGCACTGGCAGACTGTGTCAACCAGCAGAATTGCATCGGAGCTTCTGGGGCAAACAATTTTGGCGCCAAGAGAATTTCGTACACGCTTTTTAATCAATCAAATTAATCACGAAATTAATTACTAGCGACGCGACCGTTGCGTGTTTGAGACGCGCACATACTGAATATACAAACGCCGCCGCCGGCAAAGGGAGAAAATTATAGTTGCTTGTTGAAATAACACTCTTCGAATTGCCTCAAAATGTTTCTCTTTGCCAGACTCTTTATGTTTCTATTTTTAACTATATAGCTTTCCCACTTTCTATTATTTTGTCATCGTTTGGGCCTGTATCAAAACCAAAATAAAAACAACAAAATCAAAAACTATACCAAACAAAAAGAAAAAAACAAAAATAAACAACCCATGAACGAATTGATTAATGATGATTTTAGGGCATGTCATCGTCTAGGGATCGAAATTGTCGAATTGTGAAGATTTTGTACGGGCAGGAAATAAGAACATTTGTCAAGCATTTCATTTCAAATTAAACAGAACAACTATAAATTCAATTAAACCATACAAAGTACAAGTTTGTCTAACGAAAACAGACAAGCTTTAGATTGTTGAATATTTAAAACAATGCACATGACAGATATTCTATACAATAATATGTACTTTGCCCGGAAGAATATTTGTCAAGCAATTTATTTCAATTTAAAAAGGAAAACTGTAAATTCAATACAAAGTACTTGTTTGAATGTCTTATATTTAGTGCAAGGCATATGGCAGATATATTATAATAACAATATGCACTTGGCCCAGAAGCATATTTGTCAAGCAAATTTGTTTAAATTCAAACAAAGTACTATTTTGTGCACCGCAAACAGGCAAATATTAACGTTAGAGTGTCAAATATT